TTATCATAATCTTCATCAACTTGTCAAGATAATGGAAGGCCCACTGAGTTCAGAGAAGGCCTCACATAATTCTCAGAAACTTAAAGACCATAGATGTAGAAATCGTTTGGGAGCAACTAATAAATAAGATCCACATAGAGAACCATAAAGAATGGACTTTATAAGAGATTCTGCCTTGGAAAGGACGGAACTTGAACTCCATTTTGAGGGAGAGAAGAGGACTCATCCTCTGACATGGAGAAGATAAATTAGTAAACAAAGTGTGTAAAGATAAATCCGAGACAGAGAGCCCGAGGAAGAGCAGATGAACATACACGTGGAGATAATAATCAAGGATGTAATAAAAGGGAGAGAAACTCTTGAGCCTGCTTTAAGCAAATTCCACCTATACTTGTTAGAGACCCACAAGTGTAGGTTTTGGGGGAGGCAAGTTACTCATCAATTTTGACATGTGCTTATCAGACTCGCTTAGCAATCAGACAAGATTTGTAATTACTTCACCAGGTCTTTGTGATGATCCACAGTCTGCAGCTGTCTGCACACTGATTTTTGACAAACAGGCTCCATTCTATCAATGCTCCATTAAATTAACCTCAGATGGCTGATAGCACCATGTCAGAATCTCACCCGACATAGCTATGAGTTGCTTCTGAAAAGCAAGATGTTCTCTCCTTTTAGCTTGTTAGGACCAGTAGGGAACTTCAAGTTCTTCTGTTTCAATACCTTGCTCTTTCATGGACTCATTCATTGAACAAATACTTACTGAAGACCAGCTCCATGCCAGATTAGGTCCCTGTTCTCAAGGCTTTCTAGTGTAGTTGGGGATGCAGACAGTGAATAATAAACTAATACATTATTTCAAGTGTCATAAATAATAAGGAAATAAGGTAATATGAGAGAGTTACTGCGGAGGAGGTAAGGGATCAGCGATTTTCGATGGAGAGAGGCGATGGATGACGGGAACTCTTTGAGGAAGGAACACTTGGATGAAGATGTGAAGTCACATGACAGGAAATAGAAGATGTGAGAAGTTACAGGAAAGGAAAACAGCGTATACAAAGGCCCTAAGGTGGGAACAAGAATAACATTTGACGAAAGCATGCAATGAGGGGATGAGAAGCACAGGAGCAAGGAGGGCAGGCAGGGTGCACTGCTGAAGTGAAGGACCTCCCCCAGGGCCACAGCCGTGGATGAGTAAGCAAGGAGGCATGCGCAATGGAGCAGACAGAGATGCCGGGAGCAGCAGCATCTGAGTGGCAGAGGGAAAAGGAGTAGCCCAGGACACAGGCAGGGGTCGCAGGGGTGAGTCAGGAATCACAGAGAAGTGCGGCAAGCCTGGGTAGAGACGAAGAGGGAGTGACGGGGATGGCGATGACTAGAGGGTGAGTGACATGCCTAATAACATTCAGACTCATTCAAAATACTCTGCGGGCAAAATAGAGCACAATATTTAAAATTTTATTTCAAGTAAAATAAAACACAGGAGAGAGCAAGCAAACCCCCTGGATTGTCAATATGCCACAATGAGGTGGAGGCGAAGTGGGGAGTAGGCTGGGGATTAGAAAAATCAATAGAGCATGGTCTCGTGTAAGTCAGAGAAGAGTTCGTTATACCTTATATTTCCATGAACTAGATGAAAAAGAATATGTTTCAATAGGCAGGAACCCAAATGCTATAATACTAGTAACAACCAAAAGACCCACAGTATTTATTATAGAACTTGCCTAATTTAAAAGTGGAGGTAACGGTGAAGAGGGCAGATTTGTAAAGTCACGTAACCCTGTGGTTGAGCCGAGGAAGTCATGGCCATCCGCGCTGTGCTTGCATGGACCCAGGGATGGGAAGCTTCCCACGCCTCCCCCAAGGCACTGTAAGTGTTCGTCAGTTTGACCTGTTATGTGGAGCTGATACCTGCCTCCTTGTAGTCTAAAGTCCCAAACCTCGTCCCTGGAGGCACTGTCCAGCCCTTTAGACATTCAGGAACACTGACGATGTCATTGTTTTCCCTCTGCACGTTTTCCTTTCTCCAAACAAAACATCTCTACCTTCAATCACTCCCCAGATCACTATTTCCAGACTCGGCCACCCCAATCACCTTTCTGTGAACCTTCTGTAGCTTGGCACGATCCCTCTTAAACAGTGCCCAGGGAGAACACAACATTCCTAGCTAATTTATAGTGTAGGGCTTCTTCAGGCATCGTTTTACATTTCTGTGGCAGTAGGAACACAATTACATTTTATCGAGCTCAGTCCCCTGCTGTCCCTGTTCCCCACTCCCCACCCTCCAAGCCAGTCTGTTGTATTTCATGGACAGATGCATAATTTTGAGTGAGTATAAAGAATGCTGTCCCTCATCACTCCATCATTTCTGATTAAGATCACGCAGCCCTGTACCGATAACGCAGTGCTTCATGCCTCCCATCCCACTTTCTAGACATTATCTTATTATGTGCCCAAGCTAGAGAAGTACTTTTATACATAGAAGAGGAGGAATCTGAGAATTAGTGGTTAAAGGCAGAAGACAAACTGGAAATCTGACCCCTAGAAAGAGCATTGCATGGGAGCATCCAATAATCTGGCTTTGGATCCAGCTTCTGCATTTACTCACCACCACTAATTTTTTAAAAACAAAATTAATAAGAAGAACAGAAATCGGTTACCTATTATTAATAAAGGCTTAGCATGCATGTACCAAGTCTTGTAATAACATACAGTATGTCATATGTTACACATAATGATCTTTGAAGTGTATTGATTATCTCCATCTTAGAGATAAGGGAATTAAAACACAGCAGTTAAGTGACTTGCCCAATGTCACTGGGATTTGAAACTAATTCTGCTTGTCTTCAAAGTTCCATCTCTTCATAGTCTCACACCACAGTCTCCCTCAGTGAGTATTATCTATACATACTTACCAGTTGATTTAAAAAACACTGCCCGGCTGGTGTGGCTCAGTGGTTGAGTGTCAACCCATGCACCAAGAGGTCGCAGGTTCGATTCCTGGTTAGGACACATGCCCAGGTTGTGGGCCTGCTCCCCAGTGGGGGGCATGCAGAAGGCAGCCAATCGATGTTCTCTCTATTAGATGTTTCTATCTCTCCCTCTCCCTTTGTCTCTCTAAATATCAATAAAGAAAAAAAATTAAAAATAATTAAAAATAAAATAAAACAAACTCTCACAGCAATTCCTTCTCCTGAGATGCTTTTCTGAATAGGTAGGAGCAGGGACATGCGCTGCCCCGTCGGGGGCCAGGGGTGCTGTGCGCATGCACGCAGAGCAGAGCGGAGGGGAGCGGAGAACCGCCACCACCAACCTCGGTGCCGGACGCTGTTCCTAACTGTGCCGACAGGTAGCCCTGCGGCAGCTTCCATCACACGCACACTGGAACATAAACAAGATGTCACGGTGACAGTTCCGCCCCGCCCCCCCCCCCCCCAAGAGTGTTTTCTAGCACTTTTAGTACCACATTAGCAGTATCCACTTGTATATAAATCATGTGCTAATTTATTCATTAAAATCTCCTGTGCTTGACAACATTTTATTAACCTTAGTTTAAGCTAATAAGATCAGTAATTGTAATTTTTTTTAAATGCATCTCTTTATAATTACTCCATAATTCTGACTTTCTTCCATTTTGACTCAAGCCCTTACCAACTTCAAACCACATTCTACATCCAGTGAAAACGAGTCTGAATTAAAACGTTTTACAATATGACTTTGGGAAAGCCCACATTTGGAGAGACGCTAAACCCACACGCAGCCATGCCTCACAATCTCCTGGAAACCTTCTCAGGCCCACATAACTGCTGACTCCTCAGTGCCTCAGTAATCCACTAGATCAGAATCAGTTGGAGACCTCTTTGGAATGAAGATTTGCAGCAACTGGTCCACTACCCAGCACTTGGTGACCAATGACTACAGCATTTTCACCCCACACAGGTCTATTCCAGCCCTTGGAGAACAGGGAGGGATACCCCAAAATCATGAAACCAATCACCTCAAAGGATCCAGTGAATGCCAGGAGCCATTTTAATGCCCAGTTATTACAAAGAAACCTTACAAATACAACAGTACCCATGGAAACTGAGTACTTGAGAAACTCTCACAGGGTTAGAGCAGCAGCGAGAATGGACGGCTAACATGGAGACTCCCCCTATTGGATACCACAGCAGACACCGCTCATCAGTCGCAGCACGTTCCCTTGCTACATCCACAAAGAGCCTCAGAGCCTTTTTGGACCAAGCACTCCAGGGTGCGCTGCCCTCTGGTTTGCTGTTACATGTGGGGAACATCTTTTCCCTTCACTGGCTAACTAGTAGTTCATCTGAATTTATATTTTATATCAGTCTGACCCATCATGTACCATCGGGTAGCAAGTCTACAGCCCCAAACAGTACGACAGACACCTGAAGGTGCTCCCGTGATCTCCTGGCTCTTGCTGGTTGATCTTTGTAGTGGTTTCACATTTATAGCTTTGAATGGGAATATCCAGAAATCAGTTAACTGTTAAAGTGTGGATAATGTACGGGTTACACTTATATCATTCAAACCAACCTAGTTTTTGCTACTGATACGTCAAAGTTTGACTTTGATTAAATGTTATTTAGAGAGACAAGCTGCATTCCAAAGTACTTTAAAATTTAAATGCAGCATTTGATTAAAATAATCCACTTAATTTCCATTGGTTGTCGTGTAGATTTTCTCCTATGAAGACATTGGGTCATGGCTCCATGCAAACAGTTATTATTCTGGTAAATGACAAGCAGAAATCACAAGGACATTTATGCTTTGCCCAGCTTCATTTGAAAAAGAAATCATTATAAATTCATTTGTCTCCAGTTCCCACAATGGCCATTCTGGGCTACCTCACCTCTTGCCACTTCCCAAGTACATTGGCTGGAATCCCAGTCAAGACCATCTCTGTGGCACCCCTGTTCGGGAGGATTTCATCACATGGCCAGCCCCTGGGGCTGAGCACTGAGACCAGAGAGCAGACTTACCTCGTCATAGACGCTGTCATTCCTGTGAAAGTCTCCGGCCTTCCTGGGAAGAACGTGGATGTGGACGTGCTGAAAATACACAAAAAAGAAAAAAGAAAGTGTGATTATCTCCCCATATATGTTCGCACTTGACAGTGAAGCTCTCATGAAGCCCAATTACTCCACACCGGTTCCTGCTGGATTATCTTCCCGAGGAAGATGCCGTTCACCTTCAATAACTGGGTCTGAAATCTACGGAGAATAGAGGCACAGAACAAGCAAGAATGACGGGTGGCACGTCGGAGAGTCTGAGTGAAATGCCAGCGTTTCAGGGGCTCTCCGGGATTATTCATAGTTGTCAGTCTTGGTTGCATTTAGCCAGGGCTTTGAAATGACAGCATGTCTTAAAAGGTGACCACAGTGCCTCTGAAACTGACAAGAAATAAAAATTGGCTAAAACAGAACTGCATCGGTGAAGAGCAAATGAGGGAAAGAATGGCGGAGCACGCGGCCAGATGACAGCACCCGGGCTTCAAACAGCGATCGCATAATAATGACATAAATAATTCTCATGTATTCAACTTTTCATTATGATGATAAGGAAGTGCTGTGCTGGGCATTGATCTCGCGGAATGCTCTGCATAAATCTGCCAGGCAAGTGCTAGAGGTCAGGGCCCGCAGGGAGGGCTGGAGTCAGCACAGGAAGCCAGGTGGTCTGGTTCGCACCCCCCTTGTCATCAGCACGCACCCCGACTCTGTGCTGTTAATCTTCTCCACAGCCCATCTCTTCAGTCTGCAGAAGCACCCAGGTAATATACATAGCAGTGCTATTACACAGGGATGGTGACTCAGGCACACCGCACGTCTAATTCAATACAGGCTTCAAGGCTAAACTGCCATTTGGAAGTTTTACTTTCCAAATAGCCTCCATTGTACCTCGGCCGAAGTTAAACTTCGCCGCTGCCCTTGAGCTATGTGCACACGTTCATTACAGATGTGGGGGGGAGGTGACAATGAGAAGCCCAAGTGTGGAGAGGCAGACACAGAATCCAACTCGTCCCTGATCAGGCTTGATTACTGCGCTCAGGCTCCACCTCCAAGGGGCCTCCGGAGAAGGAGAGATTCCGTGTCCCCGCAGCTTTGCGCATGAGGAGGACAGACACATGGTATTCCAGTGAAGGCAGGGAACAGAGCAGTGAGGAGCTTCCGTCCACCTGCAGCACGGTTCCCAAACACGCTTCCCAAACACGGTTCCGCCGGAACATTCTCCAGTGACAAAGCCAGTCATGGATTCCTCAGCAACTGGGACGAGTGTACACTTAGGTCACAAAGGCTATGTGATGTAGGAGAGAGAGAGTAAAAGCAAACAGAGAAGAACACACACACACACACACACACACACACATTACCCATGGAACCAAATCCTTAGGAGAAAGCCGGGCAGGAAGAGCCCAGGGTGAAATCTATTGATGTCCACAGGCTGGTAGACTTAGAAACAAGTCCAGGAAAAAACACCTGCAGTCTTGACTTCCCAAACCTGCTGCTGTCCTTTCCTCCTTTTCTCTCTCCTTCCCACTTCCCTCACTCCCCCCTCCCTCTCTCTCTTCCATTCATCTGCCATCTCCCCGCATCAGGTTTCAGATCAGGGTTCTGCAGCCAAACTGCTCAATGCAAATTCTGGACCTACCACGGCCCAGCTGTGTGGCCTTGCTTCACAAGGCCTGTGCCTCAGCATCCTCATCTGGATGAGGATTAGAACAGATTTGTCTCACCGAGTGGTAAGAGGACCAGATCTGCTAAGCATGTACTGATTATGCTACTTAGCACACGGGCCGTGCTCAGCCTGTAGCTGCAGCCATATCACCTTCAGAGGGGGTTCCCACGCCAGCAGGAAAGATACTTAAGAGGACCATACTAGAGAGCCACCGGTTCCCGAGCCCTCTCCTGCCCAATGTGCTCATGTGGGCACCAAGGTCACTCACTGTTTTGCTTGCCCTATTGAGTTATCAGGGACCTCTTGCTGAACGCTTCCCTGGCTTCCCACACTCGTCATCGCCCGTGTCCTGTCTCGGGTGTGTCTGTTGCTGCGCATCAGTGACATACAGCCGGCGGCGAACTTGCACCAGGGGAACCTCCTGGGACCAGGCCCATCCCATGCCTTCTATTCTTTACCTCGCTCCCTGGGTCTGAGGTTCAGGGCGGTTTCTGTCGGCTGTTACCACTCAGCCCTGGAAATGCCACTCCTGATCACTGCAGCTCACCGTGACACTGATGGCAGGAACCAGCTTACGGCCAGGTGATCCCCCTTGGGCCTGGATCTCAGCCCAGCCTGACCATGTCGTGCTGACCACCTCTCAGAAGGGAGGGGTCACGAGAAGGCCGCTCTGAACCTCGCGGCCGTGAAGGACCACCCCCGCCACAGCCTTCCGCGCAAACATCGCCCATCAGGCCCGTGAACAGCACAGATGGGGAGACTCTGACATAACTTATTCTTGGTCACTTCATATTGCACCTTGGTGATCACAGCTTACTTTTCCACCTGCTAACATAACCTCTCATTACTACAACACTGTGGGATTTTGTGAGGGTTTAAATACTTGGAGGGTTTCAAGCAGTTTAACTGCTGGCGTTGAAAGAGTCTTTTTGAAAAAATCTATGATACCTTTCACACCAAAACGTTTTTGTGGTCAAATAAATTTCACAGTGCTCATTAGCATATTCAAGTATCTTAAAGGAGCAGATGAAGGAGACTTGGCGAAGTTGGTTCAATTAGCAATCTAGAAACTTAGTCATGGAGCCCCCTGGTCTTTAGTCACATAACCTCCATTGACTTTTTCTCTAATACATACATTTATTTATAGAAACACATCTATTACCAGGTGCTAGTCTAGGAACCAGAGGGGGAGTGAGGAGCGAGACGGAGCCTCTCCCCCCACAAGGCTGCAATCCAATGGGCCATCCAGAACACAAACAAGTATATGAAGAAACCTATGATCTAATTTCAGGTGGAAATAAGTGTCATGAAGAAAAACATAGCTGGCAGAGCTAAACATTCACGATTGAGACACTTCACCCTTTGTAATTTGGGAAGAGAAGAAGTAGGACCAGGTTAAGGGTACAGTGGGTAAGCTCAAAGGCTCAGAACAAGAATTTCGAGAAGGGTGTAATCAACAGGGTTACCATTGTTGAAAGCTAGAGTTGGTTTCGGTGAAATTTGGGGGAATAAAAACTAGCTGAAAAGCACATGAAAGATTCTCGGCACCACTAATCATTAATGAAATGCAAACCAAAACCGCACTGAGATATCACTGTACACTCACTAGCATGACTATTCAAATAAACAAAGACACAAGACAACCGCAAGTGCTGGCGAGGATGTGGGGATTAGAACCCTCGTACATTGCTGGTGGAGATGCAAAACGGTGCAGCTACTTTGGAAAATGGTTTAGCTGTTTCTCAGAAAGTTAAACATACAGCTACTGTATGACCCAGAATTCCATCCTAAGTATATATGCAAGAGATATGAAAACATGACCACAGAAAAACTTGTGCATGAATATTTATAGCAGCATTATTCATAATAGCCAAACAAGGGAAACAATCCAAGTGTCCATCAATAATGAATGGAAAAATAAAATGTGGTATAACCAGACAACGTGATTTGGCCATTAAAGGGAACGCGGCACTGCTCAGCGAAAGAATCGTGCTATGTGAATTATGCTAAGTAAAAGAAGTGAGACACTAGAGGCCAGATATTGTCTGATTCCATTTATTTGAAATGTCTAGAACAAGCAAATTCATAGAGACAGGATATAAATTAGCAGTTGCTGGGGGAGTGGGGAGTGTCTGCTAAAGGGCATGTGGTTTCTCTCGGAGATGATGCGTCTATTCCAGAATCAGATAGTGGTGATGGTTGCACAATTGTGTGAATGCACAAAAAAACATGGACTTGTACACTTAGAGTGAATTTATGTTATGTGAAATATGTCTCAATAAAGCTGTTATTTAAAAAAATAAAAAACCTGATGTGGATTTGAGAGTGGAAGGTGAAGAAAGGGAGATAAATAAGCACGAAAAACTTTTCCGAGGAGTTTTGCAAAGAAATCAATAAGGGTAGCTGCAGAGGAGAGAGAAAATCACTCTCTGAGAAACACTGGTTTAAGGTTCCTGGACCCACTGGTTTTTACAATTATTATCATTAGTAGTGGTAAATGCTGTTGTTAATATTTATTGAAACCTCACTACATGCTGATCCCTAGGCTGATTTACATTAGTACTTCAATTAATTCTTACAATACTCCCAAGAGGTAGTTAATAAATGCATGGCCATTTCCAGATGACAAATTAGACCAAAGAGGTTAAGTGACTTGCCCAAGCTCCTTCAGGGGGTGACCAAGAGCTGATATCTGAACCTGAGTCTGTCATCAGACACCTGGGTGTTTACTCTTCACCAAATGACATCCCTCAGGAGGCCACCTGCTTCTCCCTATTCCAAATACAAGGACACTTCCTCGCTGTGGTCTCCTGATGCCTCTCCCAAGCTCCATGATTTCTCGATAATGTCTTTGATTACATCTGTCAAGTCCTTTCAGGATCATGGGAGGGGTTTGCCTTTGCCTGGAGACTTGAATTCACTTAGAGCAAGGGTGTTATCATCCAAGTCCCCTTTCCAGCTCACTTCTTCCCAGTTGAAAGCCATGCTCAAAATACTGTATAGGTTAATGAAGCTGTTCAATGTCATCTTTCCCCCCTCGTTTATTAATTTCATGGAATTCACACCAAGTAACACGTTTGCCCTTTCTTGGCTCACCTACCGGAGCAAATCTCAGCTTTAAAAGCCCTTTTTGTCATCTCTGGGTCTTTTTCCGATGGTGGGAGCTCTCTGAGCTGTGATTCCCCCAACGACATTTTCATAGGCCCTGCCTCCTCTGTATGACCTGTGCGTCTCCCTCCATCCTTTGAATATGTGCCTTACCCCATACTCAACTAAGGACAGTCAGTATAGTCACATTGCTGTCTTTGTCTTTGTCATAATATGATTAAGTTCAATTAGAGGGAATAAAATCCTGTTGGAGGAAGGTCAGGGGAGG